TGCCTACCCATGTCCCATGGGGGACATCGCTTCCCCATCCTGCTCGGCCGATGTTCGGCCAGGCCATACACTGGCCAAGTGGGCTCTTAGTCGGCGGACGCCCAGCCCATGGAACCGCCGGAGCCTAAAAGCGGCACACAACGGTTCCCAGCCGGACGCCCGCCTTAAGCCCCCCCACCACGACAAGGTGGCCCACACGGGGGGGGGGGGCCACCAAACATCTTAGGCTTGAAAATGTACACAATGTTCCACAAGATAAAGATGTGATTGAGTTGGTAAATCCTAACGTATGTACTGATATCCAAGTAACTAACACTGAACAGCATTCACTAAATTTCATACAATCTGATTTTGTTACTTCAGTCACAAATAATGCAATTGCATTTTTGAGTAAATTATACGGTATTGATAGTATGTCCCGTCATCATGTTCAGCTTATTGTGGAAAATCAGATAAAAATGCTACGCGGTGGCTATTTGGACATTCTTGAAAGCAAAGTACTTGATATAGTTCAAAATCCTGTTCAAAAAGATGAAACCCTTCAGGAAGTGCGACATATGTTCCATTGTTTAAAAAACATGTACTCTGGGCTCGAAACTGAATACTGCAGATTTAAAACTTTTACAGAATGTGGTGCTTACATTAAACCTGAAGCTTTTATTGTAGGTCATTCTCTAAGTTCCAAACGTTTACATGGATCTGTGTTAATGGAGTCAACTGATCTTTATGGTCAATTTATTCCTATGCGCTTAGTATTACGTGCATTTTTGGAATTACCAGGTGTCTTAAATAAAATTCTATCTTATATGGATAAATTAGAAAGATCAGATGATTCTATTATTGAAAATTTGATCCAAAAAAAATTATGGAAAGAAAAGATCAAGCCCAGGTTTCCTGGAAAACTTCTGCTTCCTGTTGGATGCTATTATGATGAGTTTGAGCCCGGAGATACTTGCTCTCCTCGTAATGGTGTTAACAAAATAGGTGGTTTGTACTATTTTTTACCTTGTTTACCACCTGAGGACAGAGCTGCTCTAGAAAATATTTTCACAGCTCAAATTGTATATGCACAAAATAAGTACTTTGGAAATAGTGAATTGTTTCGCCGCACCCTGCATGAGTTGCAATATCTTGAAACTGAAGGAATTACTGTAGTAATAGATGATACAGAAACTCAAGTTTACTTTGCACTCGCTGTGTTTTTAGGTGATAATGAAGGTGTGCATAATGTGTTAGGATTTACCAATTCTTTCAATGCAAACTATTGTTGTCGAAGATGTAAAGTTCAAAAAATTGTGTCTTACACCCAAACACAAGCAAATCCATCTCTTCTGAGAAATCGACAAAATTATGCTACAGATGTAGTCATAAATGATGTTAGCAGCACAGGTATAAAATCCTATTGCATATGGAATGATCTTTTGGCATTCCATTGTACTGAAAACATTGCTTATGACATAATGCATGATCTTGATGAAGGGTCATGGAATTACGACATGTGTTTATTGATTCTAAAGTTAATTGAGCTCAAACGCTTTACTATTGATAAGTTAAATAATAGGATTCAGGGATTTGATTATGGCTATTGTGAGGCGTCAAATAGGCCTGGTATCCTTGAAATAAAAAATCTGAAGAAGAGAAATCTTCCATTTACAGCTGCTCAAACACTATGCTTTGTAAGGCATTTTGGTCTTATAGTTGGAGATTACATTACAGTTGAAGATAAACAATTGTGGCGTTTTTATGAAGTGATTGTTGAAATTGTTAACATTCTTCTTTCTCTAACTGTAAGACGTGATGAAGGAAGATTTCTTAAAAATCTCGTATCTGAACACCATTCTTTATACTTGGAGTTGTTCCCTAATGAAACTTTAAAACCGAAACATCACAATATGCTTCATTATAATGAATGTTGTGAAGAAATTGGGCCTCTATTATTTATGTCATGTTGGCGCTTTGAGGCAAAGCATAGACCGTCCATACAATATGCTGGTGCTAATTGTTGCTACAAAAACTTGCCTGAAACATTAGCTCAAAAAGCTCAATTAAAATTTTGTCATCGTCTTCTTGCTCAAAAGGGCTTGGAGCCTAAAATCACAGTATCAACTGGAAAAGTAATGGATACTAATTCTGCTGAAAA